TCGATGGCGTTCTGGCAGTCTAACGAAATGACGACGTGATCGATTTGAAAATTTCAGAGGTAATGTACCGGAGATTGAAATTTTTCATCTTGATGTTGATTTTAAGATTGTTTTGTCTGCATAGGTCGAATAATGTAATGCCGTTTTTGATGGTACATTTATGGCCGGGGTACCTTCAAACTCTTTTGTTGCATCTGTTTTAGCAGGTTCCTTTTTGTTGTTGTTGGGGCGTGTACGTTGATTAATGTATAATATTTGTTAGCGAATTTGATATAATTTATAGGTAGAAAAGGTAGTGTCCAATAACCAATAAAATTGAAATGCTGTGTGAAAGTACTAGCGATGTGATAAGATTTCTCCAACACAATACCGTTTCGAATTGTAAATAACAGACTTTTAGTTATTTCATATTTAATTCGACAAAGGACTTTATAGAAAATGAATGCCTTCATACTATATTTATGGTAATGTCTATATCGGTTGTAAAAATGAATTTATTCAAAAACGAAACTTCATAGCTGTGTTTAGGTGAGGCACTTACTAATAATAATACGTGTAATACATACATGCCGAAGGAAAACTCCATACACTATTAAAATTATTCAAATTGCCTTAAATAAAATATAATTGAGAACAATTATGTATGCATCATGAGATGTAATAAATGTAAGATACCTTTCATTTAGGCACTGATTATAGACGTATTAAGTAAGAGTAATGTATTCGACTTACAATAGAATTCTTTAGAACCAGCTTTATGTTTATTTTTAACACCACACGAAACAATATGGAAAGCATTTATACACTGTTCATAATGTTACTGACATTAATTTTGTAACAGTACAGAGATGGGAACCAACCTTTGGAACGGAAAATTTAAGATATTTGACAGGAAATCGCCACATAATTAACATAGGTAATGATACAAGACATAGTTAAATCAAACATCTTGTATAAACCGAAAAAAAAAACAAAAAGAAAAAAATACTTTTGGAAACTAAGTAGCCCAAAAAGTATATGGTAACCATCCACTAGACCCGTACAAGTTGGTGCAGAGTTCTAGAACTTAGGAAGACATACAATAAACCTGCAGTACGTATGGTTGTAAGTACGTATGGTTTATAAAAAAAGATTTACAAAAAAATTTAAATACATCTTACATGTAAATATTAGAGAATGATGTAAATTACTATAGATCTAAATATAGTTACAGTTAGAATATAAATATATGTGCATACTTAATGTAATGTAAGTGATATTTCAGATCTGTCATTTGTCAAAATTGTCAGAACAAGTTTTAGAAAGCACGGTGGCTGAGATTTGAATTCGATTTCGCCAGGTAGAAATCGTATGATTTCTCTTTTTGTTCTTAGATGGCGTAGTTACGTCTGTACATAGTTATTTTTGATCACTATGGTCTACGACGGGAAAAGATTTTGTCGTGGCTATACCGTACTGAAGAGACCTAAAGAGGTCGAAATACGTATATGCGGCTTGTCGCTGCTCTGTATTGAATCAAAATCTAATACCGTCATTTTGTTGCCAAATATTACCCAGGGAATATTTATAACTACAATGTATATAGTATTCAAGTTATAGTGTTGTGTAATTTTTGTCTTTGTGAGTTCGTCATACCCGGCAAAGGAACAATGTCGTAACGATTTTGTCCATCAAAAAGGGAGTCAAAACAGAACATGACAACTATCGATTGACTAGATTGTTAAACTTCCGGTATAAACTCTTATCAGAATTATAACAACGCTAACATAACATGAATCCACAAATAAAATCAAGACCGATCAGTATATCAGACAGGGTGACGCATGTTCTCCAAAACTTTTTATAGCCGTCTTTCAATCATCATGGTCAACAGTTATTCCATCCATCTTCGGATGTAAGTCTCCCTTAAGTGTGTCCATTCATTTCTGTTCGATATTTTTTTGCATTCATTCGTAACCAGCCATTCTCTTGATGTCATCAGTTCATCTGGTTTGAGGTCTGCCTCTACTTCCCTTATTTGCTCTTGGTCGCTATTCAACAATTCGTTTCGTCCAACGAATGACAGCCAGTATTTTCCAGCCAGTCCAAAACTTACGTTTTGCAGACGATACAGTATTAATGACGGATAACAACAATGAGCCTTAATAAACGCTGTCATGAGTACGGACTGAAAATAAATTTAAAGAAAACTAAATGCATGATCATGACTAAATCTGCACATGCAAATATCCAATTGACTATTGAAGATACTGCAATTGAGAGTGTTAATAACTATAAATACTTAGGAACATGGATAATAACATCAGATGTAGACCAAACCAAAGAAATTAAGACACGTATTGAAATAGCACATACATCATTCATTAAACTTAAAAAGTTTCTTTATTGTTGGGATATAAGGTTAGAACTACGCCTGAGAATGCTTCGATGTTACGTGTTCTCTACTCCTCTTTATGGCTTGGAAGAGTTGACACTAAAACAAGTCCATCTGAATAAGTTGGCCGCCTTTGAATTTTGGTGTTACAGAAGAATCCTACGAATATCATGGATTTAAAGAATGTCAAACGTGGAAGTAACTAGAAGGATAGGAAATGAGGCGGAAATAATATTAACTATTAAAAGACGAAAACTTGAGTACTTAGGACATGTAATGAGAGGGCAAAAATACGCATTATTACAACTTATTATGCAGGGCAAAATCCGAGGAAAGCGAAATGTGGGAAGACAAAGAATATCCTGGCTTAAGAACTTAAGGGAATGGTTTGAATGCAGTAGTGCAGAACTTTTTAGAGCGGCAGTCGACAGAGTCCGCATAGCCATGATGATTTCCAACCTTCGATAGAAGATGGAACTTATAGAAGAAGAACGATTGTCTTCCATTCTTCCTATGTATCCTACCCAGTTCCATGTTAACATGGCAATATTTTGGATTACATCTGTTACTTCTGATCATCTTATTTCTTCAATGGATTTGCGATCGCTAAGATTAACGTTGAAAATTCTCCGTTTTAAAGTTTATGGACTATTTTGTGGTTAAAAACCCATGTTTCAGTTCTATATGTCAGTATATGTCAGACTTTGTTTACGCCAGATCTGAAGCAGATGACAATCCGAACCATTGCAGTAACAGTATTGCACATTGCAGTGTATTCTACATTGTAGTAGAAGTATTCCAACTTTCTTTCCTTTATACTTATTCCTACCTCTCTCTCTTTAGCTATCCGGCATAGTACCTCTTCGTTGATCACGTGCTCAGTCCAGGATATACGTAATATACGTCGGTAAGCCCACATTTCGAAGGCCTCGTACTTTTTTCATCAATGTTGCGGTCATTGTCATCAATGTTTTAAATACTATTTGTAATCTTCCAAATTCTGCCCATGTTAATGAACATCTATTTAAAACAGTCTTTACGTTAAGCTTTTGTAGTTACATTTTTTGTCCCAAATATATATACGATTCAACCTTTTCTATATTATTATTGTCCGGAGTTATATCCTTAGTTATATCTAGAGATTCGTTTGTGCTAAATTTATTTTTGATCATTTTCCTTTTGATTTTTTATTTAGATCTGATAGCATTTCCTGCAATTCTTGTGTGTCGTTTGCTATCAACGCAACAGCATCGGCAAATCTCAGATGGTTCAGGTTTTGCCGTCTACCTTCACTGGTTGTCTCTCTGTAACTCCTCTTTGTAGTTTTATCTCTGGTATTTTTACTTGCGATGTAGCATTGAAATCATAATGGTCATTTTTTGATGTAAAGTAATTTCCTCATCTTCATCATTAATTAGTTTTGTAATTAGACTTCTTCCTTTAAACCTGGAAGATTATGAAAATGTTAGACGAGAAGAAAAAAAGGCGTTTAGAAGGAAAAAGAAAGAGCCGTACGAAAACGCTCTAAACGAGATTTTTAACCATTACAATAGAATAGACTCGCGAAAATTCTACCAGAAGATAAACACCTGTAAAGACAGTGATGGTTCCATAATTAGTGACAAAGACCATATACTATACAGGTGGGCGAATCATTTTGAAGAACTGCTTAGCGGCAGTCGTGAAGAAGACCAAATAGAAATTACTTTGCATGGAACAGATGAAAACGCTCAAGATCCGCCCCCCACCGAAGAAGAAATTAGAGAAGCCATTTCAAAACTGAGAAATAACAAAGCCCCTGGTTTGGAAAATCTTCCTGCTGAACTCTTTAAAAATGGTGGTGACATGGTGACACCCTTTTTAAATACTTGCATAAATTAGTAACCGAAATCTGGCAACGGAAGGAAACTTAAGTGTAATGCACCCTCTTCACAAAAAGGGAGATATGATGGTGTGTGATCATTATAGAGGCATCACCCTACTTAACGTGGCATATAAAGTATTGTCCAACGTATTGTACAGAAGATTGATCCCTATGATGAACAAATCGTTGGGAACTAAAAGTGCGGTTTCCGACCCAATAAATCAACAACGGATCAAATTTTCACAGTCAGGCAGATTCTAGAGAAAACGCATAAGTTCAGAATCGACACCCACCACATATTCGTGGATTTCAAAGTCGCATACGACTCAGTCAATAGACAAAAACTTTGGCTCATAACGAGCTGTAATGTCACTGATCATAATGATAAAAATTTCAGATTTTTCCTTTGTTTCCTTTCAAGCCATGTTTGTTAGAATACTTATATAGATTTAAGTTAATGTCCTATATTCGTGCTATATATAAAAAAATCGTTCTATTGCTACAAATTTACATCTTATAACTAATTTTTTACTTTATAGATAAAAACATGTCAGTTGAGCGACAACACTTCAAACTAGACTCTAAAAGGGATCTGTATATTTATTTCTATCTCAATCAGCCTTTTAGTTCTCCATAACTATTCATAATCTGCTCGATCAGCAAAATAAAACTAAACTTATGTACCAATGAGGAAATTTATGAGTTATCTAAAAATTTACGATATTATTGTACCTGTGTACCATTGCACAAAATGGAACTTACCTGGCAAACACTGATAATGTGCTTCGAGATACTTATGCGTACCAGCACAAGGATCCCCAAACATACTCGTACTAGCCGGGATGCTGCAGTTTTGGTTGTGGGTGCACCTGCGGAACAACCCGACAGTTTGGTATTGTGATATGAATTACAAGAAGTGTACCTTTACATGCTGCCAATATTGTATGCCAAAGAATCATTTTTGTTAGTCCTAACTTAATCATAAAATAAAATTTCTTTATATACCGATAATAAAAAGAACATTATTATTTATACAAAAAATTTGTTCGATTTCTGAAACTCTTAACCTAACGTCTTCAGAATCACCCACAAAATTTAGTTTTTCGTAACAGTTTGTCCGGGCCGCATTCAGCTGCATCCTACTACCTGCTAGAGCAATGATAAAAATCGAAATATTGTAAACAGATATTTACCGGGAATGCAATCATATTGCGCTTCAATGTATTTACTAGTGTCTGGACATGGATCATCTCCAAAAGTCACGCTGTTAATCTCTATTGTACAATTCTGTTTATCTGAACATCTGAAAATAAATGATTTCGTATTTTTTATGTGAACAGAAAGTAAATAAGTTAGCTTTTGATTTGTTATTGACACAGAAGGTAGATTAGCACATGAAGTAAAGGTGGTTTTATATGACACAGAAATATATACAGTAATTAAAGCCTTCTGTCTGGCATAATAATAGTATCGCTGTGCATGAGTATATAATAGGTATTTAATCCCGGTTGCCCAACATTTTAGCTGACAACAAGCAAAGACGTTAACAACAAAGAAACAACATATTAACATAAGCTTTGCTTCGCATTTTATATATTGTTCAAAGTAGTCTACTTAAAGAAATAGAAAAATACTCAGGAAGCTACATAAATCTATCGTTCTTGCCTTATCTTTTCAGTTTTCTAACATAGACCATATGTAAGTTGTTCGGATATAATAAGTGATTCTTTGTAAAGTGACAACTTAGTAACAACGCTATCACTCAACACATTACAACATACAAAATATACAATAATCCAATTGGCTGCAGTACGACAAATAAATATCAGTCACGCATTCTACAAGAGACGTGAGAGAGGTGTTTTTACAGCTCGAGGAGGAAACATGTAGTCTGGATCTCCAAATAAATGAAGAAAAGACGAAATACATGGTAGTAACCAAAAATCCAAGACCAAAAGTTAGGCAGAACATCAGTATTAATGATCACAACTTCGAAGTAGTAAAGGGGTATAAATACTTAAGGGCAGATAATCCCAGCTGACAACCACATAGAAAAAGAGTCTCAGCAAGGATAGCTGCGGGAAATAGAGCATTATACTCCCTTTAAATTCGTTTTTATTCGCTGTTTTTCCATTTTTCTTTCTAATTTATAAAAATTTTGTTATAGTAATGTTGTTGTTCCTTAAAATTTCCTTAAAAGTTTCTTAAAATGGAACTGGGCAGGGCACGTCGCGAGAACGAAGGACGGCAGATAGACAAAACGCATTCTTGAGTGGAGACCCAGACAAGATGCCTTTAGGAATAGAGGACGACCACCAACAAGATGGACGGATGACCTGAAACGGACACATCAAAATTGGATGCAGGCGGCTCAGGACAGAAATTTGTGGGGTGAACTACGGGAAGCCTATGTTCAGCAGTGGACGAGTATGGGCTGAATGATGATGATGAATGTTGTTGTAAGTCCTCCAATGTGAATATGGGAATATACAGTCCAACATGGGTCGCATGTTTAGCAAGCTAGTCAACCAGTTCATTTTCCTCGATATAACTGTACTATATGATTTATTTTTAATAGCACGAGTACTATTTGTTTTATGTTGAATGTAAGTTTAATCCTTTAATAACCGATAATGAATCTGATAATATTACTGCTTTATTTAAATTGGGTAAATCTAGCCAATCTAATGCTTTTTCGATTGCTATTGCTTCAGCAGTATATATTGAACAATGTGATGGAATTTTAATTTTCAAAGATTCGCTTTTATGTGGAATGTAAACTGCACAACCTGTGGCACCATCCTCTTTTTTGGAACCATCGGTATACATTGTTACGTGATCATTATAGTCACTCAATATGGATTTAAGTAAGACAAAGTTTATTTTGGGGATTCTGTGTACTTTGGTATGATGACTTTTGGTTTATTTAATGTTAATGTTACCTAAAAATTAGCTTTATATATTGGTAATATTTTTTCTTTGCCATAGATATTAGAATACTCATTAGTTTCTAAGAAAGCATCAGCAAGTGGAGAAGAATTTTTTATGCACCAGTATTTATTTGAGAGGTTTTCAATAGATAACTCTACAGTTGGCTAAGAATATTATTATTATTTAATCATAGTTTCAGGATATGTAAAATTGCCATAATTTCTCGACGATTTTAAAAAAGGATTTCATTACTTTTAGCAAGTAGAACAGGGCAAGGAGTAGACTTCATGGTACCCAAGCATATTCTTAGACATTTGAACTGAATGCGGTATCCAGTTAATAAAGTGTGTGTTATTGGCGGCACCATACAGAATACAACCATCAACCATAGTCTACAATAGATCGCACGTAGGCTCTGTAAAACATCACTGCAACTTTAGGGTCAGCACCCTATCTACGATTAGTGATACATTTAAGGATATTAATACCTTTTTCACACCTACTTTTTATATATTCAACATGTTTTGACTATAAAAGTTTGGGATCAAGAAGAATGCCAAGATATTTGTATTCTTTGACAATAGATACATCATATTTAGACAACTTGTCCACCAAGATGACCACTATACTCCCTCCGGGAGCCAGGATTGATTAAAGCGAGACATCTGTTCCTCCAGATAAGGTAAATCTGGACAAATGCAGCATTCGTCTTTCTAATGTGATTTTTAACATCATCTAGGACCCCTTCACCCATTGTTACAACGCTTCCTAGACCGACATCCAGGAAATGGTCTATATTTGTAGCATTTAATCTTATCTCCTTGGTCTTAGGACAATAATCCTAAGACCTACAGTTTCACCCCTCCCCCCTCTAATGCATTTAATTTAAGTTTCATGTCGCATGTTTACCTTCGCGTTCATGGGCTGATAAGAAGTCAGCTGCAGAGAGCTTGGTAAAGCATGTGAGACTCAGGTCCTGAGTTCAGGTAGTCCAAGCGGTTCAATATTCTGAGGGTACCATGCTGGTTTGTAATTATTGTTTATAAAAGTGATCTGATCATTTGATATCATCTGTGAGCCTAAGTGAGTATGTGAGTAATATATGCCTATGTGAGTAATATATGCCAAATTGTAACACAAAAGATAACTTCATGGCAATGTATGGAAGCTTAATAAAGAAGACAGAATACGCAGATATTTATAACAGCATTACTGAAATTATACAAAATCTGGCTATACTAAATCGTAAAAATAACAGTAAAAACATAATGAGCACTTTCTGATTCTCATTAGAGTGCCATTTTCTCTAAAGGGGGAATGATCACTCTTTAATGTTTTTCCTCGAAGGAAAAATTATCATATACTTCTTTTTGAATTAACCTTGTATATTATTCTCGGTACAACGGCTTTGTCTAATTGTGATTGGCAATGAAGTTTGGCAAATTTTCAGCAATAAAATAGGTAATCGGTCTGTGCACATAATCGAAATTTTTATTTTTTATTCCGCCTTGAACTTTTATATGGTCGTAAATGATATACTGTTACAGTTATTGCATTTAGTAACGATAACGTTTATTTTAGACCAGGGGCTACCACACTTTGAAAACTTTTAGCGCCCTAACATTTTATTTCCCCATCTTTAATGATATAGATCATTTTTCATACTTTGTAACCCGATTCATTTTAAAGACGTTTTTATCGCTTTTTCTGTCACTTGCGTTATTTATGAGCCATTTTTCAAGAGGTTTTTAACACCGACTGCATTTGTATTATGAATGCCACAACTGGACAAAAAATATACAAGGACGAAATTTATCAGAACACTATAGCAGTTTCTAAGTAGTTCTTGTGCTTTCTTCGTAAATTTTATGTATATAATACAATCTTTAGCATTCTGTCGAATCATATTTTAATAAGTTGTAACACTACACATTATAGTTGCTCTATTTTTGACAATATACCAAAATGAATGATTTGTGTGATTCTATTTATGTACACTCCGTGTTCATAACGAATGTAATTACTTTCAGGTTCCAAGTTTCCACAGTTTTCTAACCATTCACTCATCCTCAGTCATAGCCTTAGCTACCAGGTTTCTATTGAGCGGCTTCTTTCCTTGATCCTTTGATTCCTTCTTTGGTAATCCAAAAAACCGTAAAAGTTCTAATTCACGTATTTGTATACAGTCTTAATAGCACCGAATATTGCGTTTTCTGTAATAACTGTATCTTAAAAGCACCAACTGGATTCGTCGACTTCAAGGCAGCATACGACAGTGTCAAGAGAACAGTGCTATACCAACCAATGCATGAGTTTGGTATACCAGAGAAACTTATCCGACTAACAAGAATGACAATGTCTAACTTAGAAGCCACTGTTAGAATACAGGGAGAGAGTTCTAGATCCTTTGAGATAAAGGATGGACTCAGACAAGGACATGCTCTGGCTTGCCTCCTATTTAATATTGCCTTAGAAAAGGCAGTCCGAGCTACACGAATTAGGGATGGCGGTACTATTTACAATAGATCGATACAAGTCTTAGCATATGCTGATGACATTGACATAATAGGGCGTAGCAAGCGAGATGTTGAGCAATATCTCCTAGAATTGGAAACAGCGACGAAACAGGTCGGTCTAGTCATCAACGAAGACAAAACGAATTACGTGTTGGTTACAAAGGATCCGATAGCAAATGAGGAACGAGAAACAGTCTTTGGAAGTCATACCTTTGGACGTGTTGACAACTTCACATACCTTGGGTCGCTATTGACTGCTACCAATAAAACAAGCAAAGAAATCAAAAGACGAATAAATCTTACAAATAGGGCATACTATGAACTCCAAAAGCATTTCCACTCAAGAAACATTCAAAAAAGAACTAAAAATTATTATATACAAAACATTGCTGAGGCCGGTCCTCACATATGGAGCAGAAACA